TCCGTCCACTTACTTGACGTCGGGCTACGCTATTATTATTATTACGATTTATTCACATTTAAATGCTGGAGTGCTCTAATGATAGCCACTTGCGGGTTTCCAGCCAAATATAAAGAAATCACACTATCACGCTTGAATAACTTCTGGGAAATTCTTTTATTCTGTGACAGCATAAAATTCCTCATCCCCTTAAAAAAAATTATTTACCAATTTAAAGACTTTGTTAACAACTCTCGTATAAATCTGTTCAGTTTCTACATTCATTTCCTTTATTTGAGCATTTGATTTGTCAACTGCCATTGTCAAAGTCCTTGACGTTGTGGTCGTTATTGTTACTGCTTTCGTTCGTTCGTTTGTTTGTTTTGCTTTTGCATTTTTTACTGTTTGTTTGATCTCTGGCATAATACTTATTACTGCTGGATTGTTGGAATAAAGTGATGTTGGTGTTTTAGTTGTTTTTCATTTTTCTTTTCTTTTTTTTTTTTGTTTCCTTGTTACGGCCACAATTGCTAAGCAGCTATCCTAGCTGAGTTTCAATACACACTCACACAATCTCACTCACTCTCTCCCTCTATCTCTCAGTATCCAATGCACCCATTTCGTTCGTTACTGTAATTTGACATTTTTATTTTGTGGATTTTTTTCTTTTTATATTTTTTTTTTCTCTCTTTCCATGGAATTCCATATGTCAGTTTGTGAGACAATATGCATTGTTATTATTTCCATTCATATGTTTGTCTGTCTATGCCTGCATGTGAGTGTGTGTGTGTCTGCGTTGCATTTATATTCCTTTGGGGAAAGAATTCATAGATATATGCATTTTTATCGTTGTAAATCTATGAAAACCTTTTTTAAAGTGTTGTCGTCTTTAGGACTTGCATTACGAAAATTTTGAGAATTTTTTAAACTGGTCATTTTTTATCTTAATTTTAAGGTTTCACGGAATATGTGTTAAAGATCTCCAGATTTTGCAGAAGATTTGTAGATGGCTTAAAAGAATATCTGGCGATTTTTTTTAGGAACTCAATTCTTGTTCTATGAAAATGTGAAATGAATACTTGATTAAACGAAAGAAACGTCAAATGAAAAAAACTTTTTACGAAAAAAAACACACTTTCAAATTTTCAGAGAACACTGAGTATTGGGATTCTATAACCCATTTTTTGAGTTACCGACATCATGACATCATTGGTATCTATCGGTAGGCCTTAGCGACTACTTTAAATTCGTAGCTAACTTACCGACAAATTTCGTTAATTACCGAAATTATAAGCATTTGAATTTTACCAATTTTTTTTGGTAACTCATAAAATGAGTTACAGAATTCCACTACATCCATAATTAAAAAAAAGAATAGAGAAATATCTGACTATTGATTCTGGGTCTGTCATTCATTTCTCTATTATTTTTATACCCTCCACCTTGGAAAGGAGGGTATATTAACTTTTTCATTTCGTTTGTAACATCCTTAAATATTCGTCGTAGACCCCATATTCATAATCAGCATAAAATTCTAAGTCGATTTAACGATGTCTGTCTGTCCGTCTGTTGAAATCACGATACAGCCCACATTATTTGACGTAGAGCGCCAAAAACGCAATTTGTATTGTGTCTAGGATGGTTGGTACTGAAAATGAGATATATCGGTCCACGTTCTGGTATAGTCCCCATATAACAGTACCTCCCGATATTCGGTATTTTGATGATTTATGCTACATTTTTTCACGGATTTGTCTGAAAATTGGTATTTGTAGGTCATAACGGGTCCCTGTGCGTGTGGCACAACATTGCAATGTATAGGTCTACGATTTGGTATAGCCCCCATAAAAAGGTACCTCCCGATATTCGCTATTTTGATTATTTTTGCCACATTTTTTCACGGATTTGTCTAAAAAAATTGGTATTTGTTGGTCATAATGGGTTCCAGCTCCGGTGGCGAAACATGCATCCACGATTTTGTATAGCCCCCATATAACGGTACCTCCCGATGTTCGGTATTTTGATTATTTTTGCCACATTTTTTCACTGATTTGTCTAAAAATTGGTATTTGTAGGTCATAATGGGTCCTAGTTCCTGTGGCGAAACATTGTATGTATAGGTCCCCGTTTTGGTATAGTCCCCATATAACGGTACCTCCCGATATTCGGCATTTTAATGGTTTTTGCCACATTTCTTCTAATGTTTCCTTTACCCTAAGGTGGAGGGTATTAAAAGTTTGGCCCGGCCGTACTTAATGTTTTTTACTTGTTTTAAATATCTAAGAGCGTCAGTCTTGGCGGGTATGAAAAGTACTAAAATGTACTAAAAATTTATTGATTTGTATTGAATATGGAGTGCAGGATAGATGTATTCAATGGCTTTACCCCGGCCTCATTTTAAATATGTGCCAAATGGTATATAGCGATATATTCAGCTCACGAACCATTTTTCGATCACTGCGACGCGGGTTTCGATCAAGTCGCTTCTTTACTTTTCGAACCATTTCTACTGATGTTGCTGTTTTCTTCCGTTCACTTCCTTGACGTCAGGCTACGCTACCAGTATAACGGTAATGATCAATGATACGAGACACAAAAGATTTATTCACATTAAAATGCTGGAGTGCTCTAACGATAGCCACTTGTGGTTCTCCAGCCAAATATAAAAAAAAAAAAAAACACTATCACGTCTGAATTCTATCACGAATAAGTTTTTCCCTGGAAAATTCTCACCAAAATGCTTTTGTACACTTGTAAATAATATAATGAGCTGTCATTGGAATAATTTTAAAAGCTGCCGGACGAGTGGCTTAGAAATGACAGCAGTCTGAAGTTGGTTGCAGTAATTTTCATCTCACCCTGTAAAGCAGAAGTTATTAATTTGTACAACGAAGAAATCAGCAATTTTGGTTTCAAAAAAATGCAGAACTTCTTCAAAATTCATTATGCTTTCAAACATTTCCACAACTTCAAGTTATATATTTTTAACCCTTAAAAAACTCGGCTTGGTATTATCAATGAAATGGCAATACTGATTTTGTGACTATCAAATTGCGTACTATATGTATGAAGCTCAGTATATGCATGAGCATCTTCTCTTTTTCTGCATGTGTGTACAGTTGTAAGTTGGATTTCAACTTGACTTTTACTTGTCTGCTTATTTTGCTTTTCATGTCACTTACATGTCGCAATTTTGGAGTTAAAGTATTTTTACTACAATCTTTTTTTTTTCTTGGCTTGACAATCTATTTAAATTCAGTTCTTTACTTAGCATGTAGCATGGTTTGGAAAATATAAAAATTACGTTTGCATCTTTAACAAAATAATTACATTTTATTGTTATTACACATGTTTTGGGGATATGTTCTGTAATCTTTTGAGTAAATCAGCTTGAAAGGGAAATCAAGAAAATCCGATGGAATGCTATTGTAGAGTAGATGAGCCATTTGTATTTATGGAATTTTAAGACAAGTAATTTCACATTACAGGTTGCGATGAAAAAACTGCAACCAACTTCAAACTGCCGTCATTTCTAAGCAACTCGTCCGACAGCTGTTAAAATTATTCTAGTAACAGCTTATTATATTTTTTACAAACATACAAAATCATTTTGGTAAGAATTTTCCAGAAAAAAAAGTTATTCGTGATGGAATTCAAGGGGGATAGTGTGATTTTTTTTATATTTGACTGGAAAATCACAAGTGGCTATCGTTAGAGAACTTCAGCATTTAAATGTGAATAAATCTTTTGTGTCTCGAACCATCGCTCGTTACCGTGATACTGGTAGCGTAGACCGACGTCAAGCTGGTGGACAGAAGAAAACAGCAACATCAGCAGAAATGCTTCGAAAAGCAAAGAAGCGACTTGGTCGAAACCCGCGTCGCAGGTGCCGAAATATGGCTCGTGAGCTGAGCATAAGGCAAAATTCCATTCAGCAAATATTGAAAAATGAACTCGGGGTAAAGCCATTGAATTTCCAAAAAGTGCTAGAACTTACATCGCAACAGAAAGAAAATAGACTCAAAAGAGGTAAAGAGTTGCTTCGAAAGTGGTGAACTGCCGAATTTGGTTTTCTCCGATGAGAAAACTTTCGTTGTCCAGCAGTTTGTAAACAAACAAAATGATCGTGTTTACTTGCCAAAGAGGTCAGCTGAAAATGTGCACCTTCGGTTGGCCAACAGAACTAAAGCGCCATGGTGATGGTGTTTGCCGCCATAACTGCCGTGGCTCTCCGCTCGTATTAATCGACCGTGGCATCAGAATAAATACCGAATATTATCGCGAACATATTCTGGAAAGTGTATTAAAGCCTTGGGTATTCAAACATTTTGGCCGCAGACCTTGGACATTCCAACAGGACTCAGCACCATCACACTCAGCACGAAATTAGGTTTCTCGCTTCATTTCCAACGCACAATGGCCACCAAAATCTCCGGATACCAATCCTTTGGACTCTTGTGTCTGGAGTAATTTGGAAAGCAAGGTTGGAACTAAAAAAATACCAAAGTGTCGATCACCTCAAGCAAGCGCTTAGCCGGGAATGGGCCAGAATACCGCCGAGCAACAATCGGACAGCGTGTTACGGTTTCATTGGCCGTTTGAAGGCCATAATTCGTGCCAAAGGTGAACAATTCGAACAAATCTAAACTTATTCTAAAATTTGATGCTATTTCCGACATTTTTTGCTTTCATGCAATAGAATTAAAAAAAATGTACAAATTATGTCAAATTTTTATCTCACCCTCTAGTTTTAATGTTCACATGAAAAAACTCGGAATTCAACGCCATTTTTACTGGAATAAATGCACGCTACTATTCGAAATTAAGCAATATAAATATGAACTGGAATATTTTATAATTATTTCAAATTTTGAATATAAATATGATATATTTCTATATGAAAACTTGAATATGCTTTTTTTTTTTTTTTTTTTGGAACTCTTCTGTTTCATTTATATCATTTCCATTCTAAAAATCAAAATGCTAATCCCTCTTTTATTTTCTTTTTCATTTCATTACAGTCATCAGTATTGATTAAAACTGAAAATGATGGTCTCACACAATCCGCCACCAGCAGTGCTGGAACTGCTGGCGGTATAGTAACCTCATCTTCCACTATGTCTGCAACATCCACCGCTTCCAATTCAGCAGCTGCTGTGGCTGCCGCGGCCAATGCTGCAATGGCAGCTGCTGCCGCCGCCGCTGCTGCTTCTGCAACAACCTCAAGCCAAAGTCAAACCGTAAATGGTTCTACAACACCGAATAATACAACAGCTACCGCTGGCGGTACGGTAACAGAGACCTCTAACAATAACAATATTAACAACAACAGCAACAGCAGCAACACTAACAACAACATCAACAATACAAGTGGCAGCAGCAGCAGTAGTAATACAACGAATGGCATTGCCTCTCCCAGTGGTGAGTTATTAGCATCGGCCCAACAACAACAACAGCATATGATTGCCATAAGCCAACAACAACAAATGATGACCTCTACCGGTGCCCCAATTGCAGCCACTTCAGTTACAGCCACATCAGCAGCTACCGGTCTATTGCCAGCTGTCATGTCAACACCCACAGGATCCGGTTTGGTGCACAACACATCATCGCTGATGGCCAGCGGTGGGGTGGCAATGCCATCGTCCAGTACCGCTCAGGTAATAGCAAATTTAAATGCTGCCGCCGCAGCAGCAGCTGCTATGCCCAATGTATCATCGGCCGGTACAAATCTTACATCAGCTCTAGTCCCCTTCCAACAACAGCAGCAACAACAGCAACAAAACACCGTTACCACCGCCGCCGCCGCCGCCGCTGCACAAACATCCACAGCTTTAAGCACAACATCCACCGATGCCAAAAATACACCGAAACGTTTACATGTCTCCAATATACCGTTCCGTTTTCGTGATCCCGATCTAAGAGCCATGTTTGGGGTGAGTAGCCTTAACTAAATACGTGGAATATGAGAATTTTTAAAATTTACATTTTGGAATATGTGAGGGGGCTGCTAAAGCTAAAGAGTGCTAGAACTCTCCTGTAATATCTAGTGTAGTGGGAATTTGTTAAATTCCAAGGGTCTTTTTTGAGAGACCCTAGGTCTCTTTGGACCAAATCCGTTTCAGGACAATTGGAGTCGATTTAGCAATGTCCGCCGTCTCTTTGTCTGTCTCCTGGCTGGTGCTCACGATACTGTCCGATTTGATCCAACTTGATACATCGTAATATTATTTTCAAACTTAGATCGAGTTCGGAAATGGGCAATATCGGCCTACCTCCCCCACAAAAGTTTGAAATGTTCAAAAAAATATTTTACTGCACAGAAAGAGAATGGACAATGTGACTTTGTTCCATCCTAATATTTGCATCAGTGCTAAGTTGGATTCGCAAATTAACAATATCGGTCCACTCCACCTAGTACCTCTCCCACAAAGGGTCAAAATGTTGAATAATCATAACTCTTATAAAATGTGATGCAAGAGTCCGATTCTCTTCAAATTACACACATCACAATATTTTCATTAACCAACGGCCTTCTGTGAAGATGGAATATATCGGTCCACTCTTTCTGGTACCTACCCCACAAAGGTTCAAAATTTTGAATATCCATGAAGCTCATAAAACGTAAAATTAACATCCGATTCCATTCAGACTTGCTACATTTCAATATTTTCGTCAACACAAGATCTATACATAAAGATGGTACAGATCGGACCATTTCTTCTTCTTCTTGTACCTCCCACAGGCTGTAGTACCTATTACGTAATTTGAATAAATTCCGGTGAATAATGTCGCTAAAATCATCACAATGCTGAATATTTGGAGATACCATTATATGGGGGGCTATACAAAGTCGTGGACCCGCATGTTTAATTTTCTATCATAGGCAGTAGCACCAACAGCGAACTAAAGGGTGTTTTTTTTAAGGCCGATAGAACTTGAAATTGTAAAAAATAATAAGTGACATTAACATTTGATTAAAATGATTTCAAGCATATGGGCACCGCGGCTGTTCACGACAAGGTGCATTCTGGACGTCCAATTTTTGGCCACTTTTTCGAGCACTGCTGGCCGTATGTCACGAATAACACGAACAACGCTAGCCTCCAAGGCGTCAATTATTGCTGGTTTATCAGCATAAACCAGTGACTTCACGTAGCCCCACAGGAAATAATCGAGAGGTGTCAAATTGCACGACCTTGGAAGCCAACTGACAGGTCCACTTCTCGAAATCAAATTATCGCCAAATTTTGATTTGAATAAGTCGATGGTTGCGTTCGCCATATGGCACGTAGTGCCATCCTGTTGAAACCACATCTCCTCCGGATCAATGTCATACATATTTTTAAACAAACAATCATTGATCATGATGCGGTAACGATCTCCATTGACCGTAAAGCGAGCTCTGGCCTCATTTTTGAAGAAATAAGGTCCGATGATGCCACCAGAGTGAAAACCGCACCGTACGGTGCATTTTTCTTTTTTTTTTTTTTTTTTTTTTTGGATTGGTAATTTTGCTTATTAACAAACCCGTTAAGCGCCTCATCGCTGAACACAATTTTGCGATAAAACAACGGGTCATTTGCCAACTGCTCTAGAGCCTGATTTTCAGAGTAAATTTGGATAATTTCGTAGCGTTGTTCAAGCGTGAGTCTATTCATGATGATTTGTCGGAGTATATATAAAAAAATTCATCAAAATTTAATTTTTTGTGTTTGTGTTAAAAAAAAACACCCTTTACAAATACGAAATATAAACAATGAGATGGGTGGACATCGCTAAATCGACATAGAATTTTATGCTGATCAAGAATATACATACTTTGTAGAGTCCAAAATGTATATTTCCTCGTGTTACAAACGAAATGACAAGCTTAATATATCCTTCATACTTCAGTGGAAGGTACTACGGCCGAGGGTATATATCTGTCAGCAAAACCGACTGATACTTTTTAACTTATCTTATTTTTCTGAGTTGATTTTCAAGAATTTGAAATTTGAAAAAATATTGCCTTTTATTTTTCCAAAAACGTATTGAGCTTAAGCATTCCTCACATATTCTATATCTCTTCGAATATTACAAATAAAAAATATATTCTTATATACTCTCTTTCATCTACAATATATTTTCTTTCTATTTTTCTCTTATATGCATTTGCGTCTCTTCCTGTGTTTGCTACGTGCTGCTGCCGCTGCCAAATAAACCATTAAAACTCACATTACCCGATGCCTGCTGCCCTGTCCTGCCCTGCTAATAATGCTCGTAAATTTGGCAAACTATTCTTGTTGTGGTTCTTTGAAATTCCCTTCTCCGTTCGACTATGGAATGGAACTATTTGCCTGTTTTTTAATATCTATTTGATATGCAATTTTTTTCGTCTAATATCGCTTGTCGCCGGCACCGCCACTACTCTATGCGGATATGATTTTTTGGACTCTTTCATTGGCTGCAATCTCCAACACCACCACCACCACCAACGTCATGATCTGTCTGTCTGGCTGGTTGATTTTGTGATGTTCTGGCTGTTATTTGAATTTCTATTGCAATTGTTGTGGATTCGTTCTCGTCATTTGTTTTTGCTTTTTTTTCCATCTTCCTTTTTTTGGATGGCCCGTAGCAATTTGGCGCTATTTTGGATGTGGAAATTATATTCAATGAACGCGGCAGTAAGGTAAGCTCTTGTTTTGTGATATTTTTAAATGTTTTTATATTGTTGCGCTATATTTTTGTAAAAACAAGCGAAAAATTAATGAAAAACTTTTGCCAGCGCCAAGCATATGAAATTTAATGAGTCTGTTGTTGTTTTTTTTTATTTGTAGTTGTCTCCCAGCCAGTTTGGCTTGGATTCTGTTAATGTCAAAAAAGTTGTCGAAAGCAGAGAAAAAAATTCTAGGGAATTTGTAAAATATTGTGGATAATTGTTTGAAGGTGCCAACAATTTGTTGGTTCGGAATTGAAAGTTTTTAGTTTTTTTGTGAAAGTTTTGCTGAAAAGAAATTAAAATAAATGAGAAAGAGAGTTTGTGGTCAAATTTGATAATTTACCGATTAATTTGATCATCATTTTTTGACCACAGGCTGCAAGAAACACTTGTAAATTAAATATGTTGGGCATATTTAAATCAGAGGATTAAAAAATATATACAGAAAAAAAAATAAATATAAATATATAAAAACTAGATCGCATTTAATTACAAATATTCCAATGACCGAAGTTTAAAGAGAACTTGAAAAGAATCTCAGATTTTATGAACATTTTATATTTGTTATTATTTATTACACTGTAAAACACAAAAAAAATAATTACAGGAAAAACTCTGTAGATTATAAAAGTAGAGCTAAAAATAGAAGACACTTATATTGGCGTTAAAAAGTTTACCCCTATTTCAGATTTTCAGAAATTTTCCGATTAATATCCCTGCATTATATCAAGACGAGGATTATATTGATTTTGCTCTTTTTTTAAGAAATGCTTAAATTACCCCTTTCAATCGGATCGTAAAAATTCTAGATCTACAGGGTGAGATGAAAAAACTACAACCAACTTTAGACTGCCATCATTTCTAAGCCACACTATTGTTTACACACGTACAAAAGCATTTTGATGAGAATTTTCCAGAAAAAAAAGTTATTCGTGATGGAATTCAAGTGTGATTTTTTTATATTTGGCTGGAAAACCACAAGCGGCTGTCGTTAAAGCACTCCAGCATTTAAATACGAATAAATCTTTTGTGTCTGTACCATCGCTCGTTGCCGTGATACTGGTAGCGTAGTCCGACGTCAAGGAAGTGGACGGGAGAAAACAGCAACATCAGCAGAAATGGTTAGAAACGTAAAGGAGTGACTCGATCGAAACTCCCATCGCTGTGACCGAAAAATGGCTCGTGAGCTTAAAATATCGCATTCGGCAAATATTGAAAAATGAGCTCGTGGTAAAGCCATTGAAATTTCAGAAAGTGCAAGAACTTACACCGCAACAGAAAGGAGATAGACTCAAAAGAGCTAAAGAGTTGTTTCGCTTGACCGAAAGTTGTAAACTGCCGAATTTGGTTTTCTCCAATGAGAAGACATTCGTTGTCCAGCATTTTGTAAACAAACAAAATGATCGTGTTTAATTGCCAAAGAGGTCAGGTGAAAATGTGCACCTTCGGTTGGCCACCAGAACACAAGCTCCGGCCATGGTGATGGTCTGGGCCGCCATAACAACCAATGTTCGCTCTCCGCTCGTACTAATCGACCGTGGTATCGGAATAAATGCCGAATATTATCGCGAAAATATTCTGGAGGGTGTATTTAAGCCTTGGGCACCCAAACATTTTGGCCGCAGACCTTGGACATTCCAACAGGACTCAGCACCATTGCACTCAGCACGCGCCACCCAAGAATGGTTACAAAATGAGGTTCCTCGCTTCATTTTCTGCCACCAAAATCTCCGGATACCAGTCCGTTGGACTATTGTGTCTGGAGTATTTTGGAAAGCAAGTTTGGCACTACAAAAAACCAAAGTGTCGATCACTTCAAGCAAGCGCTTCGCCGGAATGGGCCAAAATATCACAGAGCAACATTCGGACAGCGTGTGACGGTTTCATTGGCCGTTGGAAAGCCATAATTCGTGCCAAAGGTGACCAATTCGAACAAATCTAAACTTATTCTAAAATTTGATGCTATTTCCGGCATTTTTTGGTTTCATTCAATCAAATTTAAAAAAAAAATGTAAAAAAAAAACAATTCGAACAAATCTAAACTTATTCTAAAATTTGATACTATTTCCGGAATTTTTTTGGTTTCATTCAATAACATTTAAAACAAAATGTAAAAAAATATGGCGTTTGACTTTGTTGTAGTTTTTTTAGCTCACCCTGTATAGTAGAATTTTATGACACACAATTTTGTAAAATATTTTGACTTGCTATCATTTTTAACCACATTTTGAAAAAAAAGACCAAAAACACCCCTTTTGGAGGCTTACTTAAGGGGTTAAAATGCCCGACAAAAATAATCAGCATATTGTTATCTGTAATATTGCCGAAGACACTTTATACATAAATGAAAGAATTCCAAAAAATTGTAAAATTTCAAAACGCCGATACATGTGTCTTCTATTTTTAGCCCTATTTTCAGAATCTGCCGTATTTTCGCTGTAATTATTTCTTGTGTTTCACAGTGTAAATATTTGTTTTGCCAGGCCATTTTTTACAATTCATTAAATGACAAACACAACTAAATCCTAAATTTTCTTTTGTACTTAAATTTCATATCTCTAAATAAATACCTAACTGAATGTAACTCCAGCGCCATAAAGAGCTCAAATTCTGGCCATAATCTAAATTTTACAGCTTTTAACCAACTCCTTCAACCAAATATCTCCAGAATTTTTCTGCTAACTTTTCAAATTGGATATGTAATTGCTTAAATACACTGGTGCATACATACACACTTCGAAACATGACAAACGAATAGATGGCATAGAACTTGTTCTGTCTGTAATGTTCAAAATTTTAATGATAACTTCTATCTTCTTCCTCTTCTTGACAATAACCCATTTTTTGGTCATATACATATATTTTCCTATTCCATTGGTTGTTGTACCCCCCAAAGACATTTATTTTTATTTTTAAATGTTGTTGATGCTATTATTTTGTACGACGACAATATTCTACACAATTTGTTTATTTTATAGCTGTGGTAAGCTTCCAAATGGTATTACCATATGTTTTAAAATTTAAAATCTTGGTATCATTTGTGGCTGTTGATTGTTGTGTTGTCACACACACACACACACCACACATACATATCTGTGTGTGTATATGTTGTGCTCCTTTAATGATATCGAATAAATGTTAAATGTGTAAAGCGACAACACATTTTCATAGAAAGGATATGATTTGGTTTCTCACAGGCCATTGTTGAAGAAAAATTATATTTTTTGTGTAAATAAAAAAAATGGCTAATGCTCTATGGACCCACTAACAACATTTCTGGCCAAAATAATTTTTGTAAGTTTAATTTTTTTTAATATTTTTTCTTAGGGTAATAAGAAAATGAACTCCTTTATATCAAACCGAAATAAATGTCCTTCTCCTTTAACGGGAGATTTTTAAGAGCTGTAGAAAAGTTTTTCAAAAAAAAAATTGTTTGGATCGATAGTACGGTCCATATAATTTAATGTTTGAAGATTATTTCATTCAAATGACGACCGCGACTGCGCCTCAAATGGTCCATCCGTTTAGTCCAATTTTGGAGTATTCTTTTCAACATTTCGGTCAGTATCTCACGAATATAGTTTTCAATGAATAAAGTGTTCAATGGGTCAATTGAAGCGGGCTCGTCTGTACTGGATGAGATGAAAAAACCGCAACCAACTTCAGACTGCTGTCATTTCTAAGCCACTCGTCCGACAGCTGTTAAAATTATTCCAGCGACAGCTCATTATGCATTGTTTACAAGCGTAGAAAAGCATTTTGGTGAGAATTTTTCAGGGAAAAACTTATTCGTGATGGAATTTAAGCGTGATAGAGTCATTTCTTTATATTTGGCTGGAAAACCACAAGTGGGTATCGTTAGAGCTCTCCAGCATTTAAAAGTGAATACATATTTTGTGTCTCGTACCATCGCTCGTTACCGTGATACTGGTAGCATAGCCGGACGTCAAGGAATTAGACGGAAGAAAACAGCAACGTCAACAGAAATGGTTCGAAAAGTAAAGAAGCGACTTAATCGAAACTCGCGCTACAGTGGCCGACAATGGCTCGTGAGCTGAACATATCGCAATACTCCATTCCGGAAATATTGAAAAATAAGCTCAGGGTAAAGCCATTGAAATTCCACAAAGCACAAGAACTTAAACCGCAACTGAAAGAAAATAGACTCAAAAGTGCTTAAGAGTTGCTTCGCTTGGCCGAAAGTGGTGAACTGCTGAATTTGGTTTTCTCCGATGAGAAAATATTCGTCATGCAGAAGTTTTAAACAAAAAAATTATCGTATTTACTTGCCAAAGAGGTCAGTTTAAAATGGGCACCTTCGGTTGGCCACCAGAACTCAAGCGCCGGCCATAGTGATGGTGTGGGCCACCACCGCCGTAACAGCCAATGGTCGCTCTCCGCTCATATTAATCGACCGTGGCATCAGAATAAATGCCGAATATTATCACGAAAATATTCTGGAGGGTGTATTACCTTGGAACATTCCAACAGGACTCAGCACGCGCCACCTAAGAAAGGGTACAAAATGAGGTTCCCCGCGTCATTTCCAGCGCACAATGGCCACCAAAATCCGTTGGACTATTGTGTCTGGAATATTTTGAAAAACAAGGATGGCGCTAGAAAATACCAAAGTGTCAATCACCTCAAGCAAACGCTTCGCCGGGAAGGGGCGAGGTGTGTTGAATTTCACATGGGAGGTGTTTGGGCTAGCCCTACCCTACACAGACAATTTTCTGCTACAGGAGTTGTTATATTATGCGAGTTTCAAATAACAAATTCCATTCTGTTGAAAAAATCATTAAAACACTCAATATCGGGAGGTATCAGAGGTTTTAAGAAGACGCGAAATCACATAGCTCATTCGCCATCTTGACCTGTCCACGTTTGTAAAAAATGTATGCCTTCTATCTCCAATTTTCTACGATTCTCTTTTATGTTTTCACATTTGTAAAAAAAAAAACGATTTATTC